TCCCTGATGAGGAGCGACGTTGAGCATCTTTTCATGTGCCGGTTGGCCATCTGGATGTCTGCTTTAGAGAAGTGTCTATTCATGTCTTCTGCCCATTTCTTCACTGGGTTATTTGTTTTTTGGGTGTGGAGTTTGGTGAGCTCTTTATAGATTTTGGATACTAGCCCTTTGTCCAATATGTCATTTGCAAACATCTTTTCCCATTCCGTTAGTTGTCTTTTAGTTTCGTTGATTGTTTCCTTTGCAGTGCAGAAGCTTTTTATCTTCCTGAGGTCCCAGTAGTTCATTTTTGCTTTTAATTCCCTTGCCTTTGGAGATGGGTCAAGTAAGAAATTGCTGCAGCTGAGGTCAGAGAGGTTTTTTTCCTGCTTTCTCCTCTAGGGTTTTGATGGTTTCCTGTCTCACATTCAGGTCCTTTATCCACTTTGAGTTTATTTTTGTGAATGGTGTGAGAAAGTGGTCTAGTTTCAACCTTCTGCATGTTGCTGTCCAGTTCTCCCAGCACCATTTGTTAAAGAGACTGTGTTTGGCTGTTACAAACAATGTTGAGTCGGACATATTGATTTATCAGGGGAAATTTTTTCAGGGAATTAACTCAGCACAAGAGACTGTGTTTGTTGAGTTACCTCCACCAATACTCCTCAAGCTCTCTGACTTCCTGGTGAAGAGCTGAGATCCCGGGAATCGTGTGTCATTCTAGTTTGAAATGGAAGTGGAAATTCTAAGGGCTCTACTCTAAGGCGCTGGCAAGGTCTTTACAGAGTGCAAAGGAAGGTGGTTCCGGACCGTAGAACTGCCTCCACTCAAGCAGAGACCAAACATAAAGCCTCAGTAGATTAACTATTTGGCTCGGTAAACTTCTTATAATTAATACTTATTAAACTGGCAACTAATAAGGCCAACATGTACCCCTCTGGGCCACCTGCTACCCAATAACTGTTACCACCATCTCCCTCCCCATCTACCCCCCCCCCCACACTTCGACCCTTGGCTTCTCCTTGTGGAATTGTATCAGTCAGGTACCCCAGATCCCTGAGAATATATTGAGATCCCCTAGCAAATGGACAGTGAGGCTCAGGCTGGTGTCCTAAACCACATGTCTAGTGTGAGTGAAACTTACAGGAAACTGAGTTTGAGTTAGCCATTTCCATTAAACTCTCATTTGTAAAGCATCAGTCACTGTGCCGTCAGTTTGTTTTATATTCAGCAGAAGGGAAGCAGCATATTCTGGAAATAGCTTGGGCCAAAAAGAGCATGGAGCCAGTTCTGCCACTTGACATCTCTGTCCTGGTCTTGGTCAAGATATGAACCTCTCTGGCATTCCTCAGTTTGATGCTCTGAAGAATGGGGATGACAATGGTACCTCAAAGGGTTGCCTAGAAGATTGAGAAAAGTCATTTATTGCACTGTTCCTGGCACCTAATATGAGCACTTTAATAATATTAGCTATTATTATCGATGATGAAGTCTTTCTATCAAACAAAACAAAACAAAAATCTCTTCCTCTTTCAATGAAGAGTTGACGTCAGGACTAAATAAAATAACATACGCGGACATGTATGTGCTCTATAAAGGTTAGTTCCCATTCCTCTTGGACATCCCCGAGAGCTTCATTTATTTCCCTGCATAGATTCATCCTAATATACAGTTCAAAACTATCAAATAGAAAAGTGGGTAAATATTTCTGCCTAGTATACTGGCTACAGTGAAATAAATCAAACATCTGGGTGTGGGTATAACAAAATTGGTAAACATACTAGGGATCATGGAATTTGTTCATTGGAAGGGAACCAAAGAGTAGTACAGGCTTGGAAATGGAGCCCTAAGTAATGGCCATGGTCTCAAGATGCTAATGGACCCCACAAGCTTGTCGGCAGCCAACTGAACATTATCCTAGAGATGGTGTTATTAATCTAGCAGGCTCGGGGCGCCTGGGTGGCGCAGTCGGTTAAGCGTCCGACTTCAGCCAGGTCACGATCTCGCGGTCCGTGAGTTCGAGCCCCGCGTCGGGCTCTGGGCTGATGGCTCAGAGCCTGGAGCCTGTTTCGGATTCTGTGTCTCCCTCTCTCTCTGCCCCTCCCCCGTTCATGCTCTGTCTCTCTCCGTCCCAAAAAAATAAATAAACGTAAAAAAAAAAAAAAAAAAAAAAAGAATAATAATAATAATCTAGCAGGCTCTACGGTTGGGAATGTCATGTCTCGGTCATTCAAGGAAAAGGTTGGGGTAAGAAAACATCTTGTAAAAATACAACTGAAAACTTGACGCTGAATCACATAGCTATTTGGCCGTGGATAGTGCCTGGGTAGTGTTGGCACATAAAAATCTTTTCTTCTCTTCCATGCATAATTAAGGGCACTTGGGGACAGAAGGAAAAGACAAAATGCTACGTGCTTGTCATTCTAGTGCCCGTTGTTAAGCTAAGAGATGCACGTTGTGGCTTTGCCAGTGATCAATCGTCATGGCTTGTTGCATTCTTTCTTTGATTCATGCAGTCAACAAATATTTAATAAGCATTTACTCTGTGTCAGGGGCAGGGAATTTAAAAACATATCCCCCGTCTCAGGTTGCTTACAGTCTAATGAGAGGACACAGGTACTCATCAAGTAATGAAGAAACTATTGAGTGCATTGGCTTGTGCTAAGAGCTATAGACAAGAATAACACAGGGAAGGGGGTGGTTACTCTTGGACATAGGCTGGTGTGAGGACACATTGATTAGGAAACATTTGAGCAAGGAGCTTCGGGAACTCAGAGGGTCCTCCCGGGAATATCTGTGGGAGAATATTAGGGCAGAACAGCACGTGCAGATAGCCTGGGGCACACACTTGCTTAATGTGCTCAGGGCCAGTGTGACCCCGAGACAGTGAGTAAGGGGAGAGTGGGGTCCAGACGGCGCAGGACCTTGTAGGCCTTTGTGACGGCTTTGCCTTCATGAGCGAAATTGGAAGCCACTGGGGTGTTTTGAGCAGAGGAGTGACGTGGTCTGGCTTTGTTTTGCAGACAACACCTGAGGTACCCTATCCGGCAGAGGCTGCTGGGTGGGGCAAGGGCACAGCAGAGAGGCCATCCGTGACTTCTCACTCGGTGGCCCTTTCTCGCTTAAGGCGACAATAACTCCGTACCGTAGCCCAATGGCACCTTCAGCAAGAACTGGGGCTCAGAGCTGTTAAGCAGTCAGCCCAATGAGGTCAGGATTCGGGTCCAGACCGGGGACCCTAAAGGCAGAGTCCTCTCCTCCCACCCTGTGCGCAAGTAAAAACGTATGTCACTGTCACTACAAAGAATAATGAATAATGTTTACATCAGGGGCGTAAACGACACAAGAGTCTTCAGTCACTAAACTAAGGCCCCAAAGAGAAAATACGGTTTCATTTCTCCTCTGATTTTTAGTCCTCTGACACAGCTTATTTTTCATGCTGTCTAGATTTCTTTTCGAGGTGGGAGTTCACATTTTGTGTTTTATTATGAACTACAGCTGAATCCGTTTGAATTACACTCATCTGCCGTCTTCCAGAGTTTCACAGATGGCGTAGACGGCCTTTGTCTGCTTAAGGCGTTTTTGAATATCCATGTTCCTCTCTAACCTGTCCTGCAGATTCACAAATGCTGGCAGCGGACTGGGGCCCATTTATGTGAAGTGTCCTTGGGCTCTCTTCTCAGGCCCTTGCCATGGCCATGCCCTCTCAGACTGGATCCAATCTGTACACGTGTGCATGAACAGGACACTTGAGAATTTCGCTTCCATGCAGATGAAGCGGGAGACAATTCACGACCAGAGGGGACAGCGATACTTCAGCTGAAAAGCAGGAACAGCTTGTCCGTTATTTCCCCCAAGCCTTTCATTAGTTCCAGAGAATTCGGGCTTGAGGAGTCTGTCGCTCAACAGCCCTAGATGACTCTTGTCTATTGCTATTAAGTGACGAGCTCCATTCTCTCTCACTTTCCTTCCAAGTCACCTTGTTGAAGTTTTGTTGTTGTTGTTGTTGTTGTTTTTTTTGTAAAACAGTGACCACAGACCCACAGCCAGTCTGAGGAGTGGCATTTGGAACAGCGCAAGCCACCAGGAGCCACGTGGGGCTGTGACAGAGGCATGGAAGCAGTGGGGCCATCCGAGCTCAGCCTCGGTCTCCTCAGTTAGTTTAACCAAGCAGTCAGGTTCGAGGTCAGACAGGATTAAAGCTATCCTGCATACGAGCAGAGAAGAAAAAAAAAGTTTTCAAAATCTCTTGCAAGACAAAACTGTATTTTTTCTTTACCTTTTTTTTTTTTTTTTTAACTGGAGGAAAGGGCAAAACTAGGAGGTAAAACGAGAAGAAATCACAGTATATTCATCCCCAGTCTCAGCAGAGAGAGGGGTCTGTCGCTGAATTTTATTTATTATTTTATTTACTTTTGGGAGAGCACAAGCAGGGGAGGGGAAGAGAGAGGGGGACAGAGGATCTGAAGCCAGCTCTGTGCGGACAGCGGCGAGCCCGATGTGGGGCTCGAACTCGTGGGCCCTGAGATCATGACCTCAGCTGAGGTCAGATGCTCAACCGACTGAGCCACCCAGGTGCCCCCATGCCCCTGAATATTATACCTGTAGAAAGGTTGGTTGGCTAGGGCCAGGGGGCAACGGTGGAATGTTCCTACATGCACCACACTCACCTGAAGGGAAATTGGAGAATTTAGTTTTTCTACTTCTTGGGTTGGAGGAGAGATACTGTAAAAGTATACTCAGCCACATGACATGATATGAAATAAAATCACACGAAGACCATCCAGGACACTTTCCCACTCCCAATCCAGTGGGCACAAAACTCGTTGAGAATCTCCCTAAAATTCACCTGGTCCCGTGGAAGGGGACTGGAGGGTAGTTTGCGGCCTCGGGAGGCGCTGTGTGGCTCGGGCAGGGTTTGGGCTGTCACTCAAGTGCTCCGTGTGATTTGGGGATAAGAAGGCACCCTGTTACATTCCTGCCCTGGGCTTTTTCTCACTGAACTCTCCCTGCCTGTCGTTAAGGTCCAGCTGAAAAGCGAGGAGTCCAAGACGTTTGCCATGAAGATTCTCAAGAAACGCCACATCGTGGACACCAGACAACAGGAGCACATTCGTTCGGAGAAGCAGATCATGCAGGGGGCTCATTCCGACTTCATAGTGAGGTAGAGACCCTGTCCCTGTGCTCCCCATAGAGACTCAGCCACAAAACCCACTGTGGCCCGCGCTTACGTTACACGCTTCGTTCTCGCAGCACACGTCGTTTTCAATCTGATTTTAAGAAAGTTTTTTTGCTAGACTTAAAAAAAAAAAAAAAAAACCCAGAAGTTTGATTCTATCCTTTTTTTTTTTTTTTTAAGAGAATCCGATTCTGTGGAAACATAGTTCCCCCAAAGGAGATATCTGAGTTTCTCACATTCCATGTGTGTGCTCTCTGTGACTCCAAAAGCCGGCATCGGCCATTGGAGCTCGAAAGGCAAGATATCAAGAATCAAACTCTGCTACCTATAATTATTTGAATAGTAATGTGTAATTTCTTGAAGCTCTTAAAAAATGAAGTGACTGTCCCATCTCTGAATTTTCGGAGCATTAATAACAAGGATAATGGGGGAGTTTTCATATGCGGAAAAACCTGTTCTCGTTAATTTGTCAGTGGCCCTTATTAAAAACAGGGTGAGTGCAAGTGAACAGCATAGGAATTTACTACATATCTATATTTGTAAACTCTATCTACTTTATATCCATGTATACGGTATGTTTATGACCACTAATAGGGCTCAAGGTTCCATGCTTAAAGCGCCCACCAAATTGGGATTAGAGGAAGCCCAAGTGGCCATCTTGGTCCATAATCATGTGGATTAATCCATTTATTGCAAAGGACAGACTAGCCCCCTACACTGTGTACATCTCGGGACGCTGTTGCCTCCTTTGCCCTATTTGTACACAGATCTCTCTCATTCTTTTAATAACATTTCAAGCTTGGTAAGTCAAGTATGAGGCTATAATCTGAGCACTGAAAGCGCTACATTCTTTTCAAAGACAGCCTTGTTTATAACCTTTGTTTTCTTGTTTGCGATTCACAGACTGTACAGGACATTCAAGGACAGCAAATATTTGTATATGTTGATGGAAGTGTGCCTAGGTGGAGAGCTCTGGACCATTCTCAGGGATAGGTAGGAATTTTAAGAAATTTCTATCCTATCTCTAAAAATATTGAAGTCATATTTATGTGTTACATATGCTTCTAGTTCAGAAAATAAGTGTGGGATATGACCCACTATACATATACGCTTTAGTAAATATGAAACCACATTTTAGATTTGTAACTAATGATTCAGGCTTAGTCCAGTATGGAAATGGTACCTAGCAAGGTACATGAAACAGGCCTTTTTTTAAACTTGAATATTGGAATCAGTTTACTATATACTGAGAATTCAATTCATTGCTGTGACTTGAAGGGAATTAAAGTTACGTTCTACTTGCAATCTGGATTAATTACCAGTTTAATTGCTGTGCTCATTGTCCAGATGGGCAGTCTGCCTTTCCTGACATTGAGAAGTTGTTCTCGAGGAACTTTCTTCTCTGACTTTACACTGCTCCTTGGTTCCAAAATCAAGTTTCCAGCCATCTGTTTCAGGCTTTAGATAATGTTAGGAAAAAAGTAATCCACTTATAGGCAGTATTTCATTTAAACGATGTGATTTAGATTTACCTATTTTTTGCCCTTTTAGGGCAAGTAGAGTTGGCCAAGTTCGTGCTTGTTTCTTTTAATTATGCAGAATTAATTTTCCATCTCTTATTTATATAACTAGCAAACTAAAAATTTATTCATGTCCTAGAAGATCATTACCAATCCTAAATGATTACTTAAAAAAAAAGACCAAAACTTTCTTTCCTGTGAATGAGCTTTTAATCATTCCCTATGAATGATCAAACATTCAAAAGTCATTCTTGTTCTTTTGAACGTTCACTTGTGACATCTTTTTTCACATTTCTTCCCGTCTCACTCATGTTCTCCTTCACTGGGTAACATAAGCCATGCTATTTTTGACCATTTCTTTGTAGATATTCCGGAATAGAACCAATGGGTCTTGAATAAGCTATCTGATTTTAAAGTCTCATTCCTAATTGTGTTCATATGGTAACTTCCTGTATTTGGAAACATTGCCCTTTCAACTCTTATCCTCATTGCCTTCCTTGTGCATGTCTAGTGGATTTCTTTTTACCTTGTCAGTGTCTTATTACATTGATGAGATCTTTCTTAAGATAAACTAGCCTAGAAGGGATCGTATCGTATTGGCATAAGGGGATGTGATAAACATCTGCACTAAGCTATTATAGCCTAGTGATTACATTATTTTAGTAATGTTTGAGTACAGAATATATGCCGGGCATTGTGATAGAAGCTGGGGATACAATGAGAAAACAGATGTAGTCCCCCTTCTCATAATTTGTAGGCTGTTGCACAAAGTTAACATTCTGATTTATGAGTTAATGTCTAATTCATCCTAATGTGGTTCTACCTGACCTTTCAACCCGCTAATTTATTGGAAATATCTTCCCTGATTTGCTGTAATTAGACTAGAAGATGTACAGGTGGAAGTAAACATGAAAGCAATAATGAGCCATGTAGGGAAAGGAACTATTTTAAGCTTCTATTAACTTCTTGAACCAGGCAAGAAAAACACAAGTCAATCTCAAGTCCACTAATGGGGCATGAGACACGCATAGGAATCAAATTTCAATATATATTTTGAAAGAAAATATTTCATGTTTTCTCCGTCTTTCACTCGATTTGCATTTTGTTGGCTCATACATGCCGGCCCGGGCTTCTGAGTAAGATGTATTCTGATCGGTCAGGCCAACTCAAGTTGCTAGTAAGCAGTTTACCTTTGGAGTAGTGAATAGAGGGCAAGTATCAGTGGTTGGTCCTTTCTCTACTTCCATCTGTATGCTTTTTTAATTTTTTCAAGTTTGCTTATTTATTTTGAGAGAGGGAGAGAATCCCAAGCAGGCTCCAGACTGTCAGTGTACAGCCTGACATGGGGCTCTGTCCCACAGACCCATGAGATCATGACCTAAGCCAAAATCAAGAGTTGGATGCTCAGCCGATTGAGTCAGCCAGGCACCCCCAGGATGCTTTTGTTTTTTTAACGTTTACTTTTAAGCGAGAGGGAGACAGGATCTGAAGCAGGCTCCAGGTTCTGAGCTGTTAGCACAGAGCCTGATATCAGGGGCTCGAACCCATGAACTGTGAGATCATGACCTGAGCTGAAGTCAGGTGCTTAGCTGACTGAGCCACCAGGTGCCCCCAGGATGCTTTTTCATTGATTCAATTTCCTTCCCTTCTATCATCCTTGGGATGCGCAGTTGGTGAATTCCCCACAATGTGCTTAATACTACATGAAGCTATATAAAGAGGCATGACCTGGAGAAGTAAGAGCTGCCCGCTTCTTCTTAAAGACACAGAAGGGCTGAAGCCTCAACATTAAAAGCAGTATAACTATTGTATACAAAATCACTTCAGAATCGTTGTTTGTCTACCAGTGGTTCAGCTCCAATTAATATTGCCACTACCTTTCTCATTATTTGTTTAAATTGAGGCTGAAAGTCCTAAAGGTTAATTGCTAGAAAGAACGACAACAAAAAATGACAAGACAAAAAGGAAAATAATTAGGCTATTAGTCACAGCGTACATGAAGATATCCGTAGTCAAAACAAATCCTATTGTTCAATTCATTCAGTTTTCATTTTCTGTCCCAGGAAAACAGCAGCAGGGAGAAGGTATTCTGAAAGCATAAAGGAAAGTATTTGAGTTAAGAAAGGCTTGTGTGACTATTCTTTACTAACAAGGTAATACCTCTAAGCCTCAGGGATTTAGTTTAGGAAGTCTCTAACAGCAACAGACCTCCCCCTACTCTCACCTAGTAAGTGACATGACCACTTCCTGCCTCTTTTTTTTTTTTTTCATCAGCATAGTAAAGGAATCCAGAGCAGTTTTTCATCTGTTTTCAAAAACCTAAGAAGGAAAATAATCCCATAAAAAATATTAATCTTTTATCATTTTACTTAGCACAGAAATCTTAATTGTTCCAGTTATTTCTCTGGTTTTATTCTCTATTAGCTATCATGCTTTATCTTCTAGTTTGTGACTTTCTGCCTTCCACAAATTCTGTTTCATTCTTTGGAATATGTTGGTACACAGTAAGTGTTATAAAGAACGTAAATATAAAGAATTAGGAATCTGTACTACCTTCTTAAGTGGTTAATATGACATTAGTATTTATATAGATGTTATGTATTAATATTGGTATTTTATATATTTAATAATATAATGAAATTGAACATTTCAAGTGTTAATTTTGAAATACATGTAAATAGTTCCTACCCAATATCTTAATTCTTTCAGACACTAGAATTTTCAAATCATGCACATTTCCCTTCTAGTCATGTGTCTTCGCAGATGTGTTTTGTAAGCCCGAGAGTAACTTAAATGGGCAATCTCTTTGATTCTAACTATATTGTGGAGGGTAATTATTTAAAATCCATCTGAGATGACATAACGGAGAGTGGAAATCAAAAGCATTTCCAGGGGTCAGGAAGATAGCAGAATCAGGGGAATCTTGAACTCAACTCGTCACAGGAACACACCAAGATAACAGCTGCATTTGTACAGCTAACTCCGAAAACAACCTGAGGACGGTTGGAAGAAGCCTTCCCCAATAATCATGGAGTGGAACCCACATTGGAAAGGGCTGGAAGCACAGAGACACAGTAGGGGAACCAAATCTCCTGTGATGGGGAAGGATACCCCAAGCGTGGAGAAGCAGGAAGAGACCCCACTGGGAAAATGATGATCCATACGTACCATTCGGCGTTGAAAAACAGTGGGGCTTAACTTGGCCAAGTGTTTAAAATCAGCTGGGCTTAGGTCCAGGTACTTTCATTCCAGAAGAGCCTGAGGGCAACAGAAAATGGAGTCCCCACCCTTAAAGAACGAGCATAATAAATAAGCTGCCGAGACAGCACAGAAAGAGCGATTTGCAAAGTGTAGGGAAGGACATTTATGTACAGAGTGTGCACCGGAGAAGAAGGGATCTTCAGGAGACTTCTCCCCGGAAAAATGTGCTGGCAGGCCCTGGTTCTCGTCCCTTTCCAGCCTGGCGAGCCAGACACTTGTGGGAGCCAGTGCTAAGCCCTGCACCGATCTTGCCAGCACTGCAAGGCCCCAGTCCCACATTCCCTTACAGACCCATCCCATTCAACCTGCTCACCTCAGCCGGCATCCATCCGGAGCGACTCCTGTCCTGGGAGAGAAAAGATAATCACACACACCAGCACACCACGGTTCCAATGGCCCAGCCTTTGAGCCGCCAGCACAGGGGCAAAACCCTGCCCTGTGGTGCACCCACAGCTGTGGGAGAATGACTAAGTGGGGACAGTTTGCCTGACTACTGACCCTGCCCACCTGCAAGCCTGTGGCAGTCACATACAGGCCGCTGAACACAGGGACTGACCTTGCCCCGTGTCAGCACAGAGGGCACGACACATCATTGCAGATGACTGGACTGAAGGCAGATACGGTTCAGCCACAACAGTAGGGTGCACGCAGCCCACACGGGAGCCACCCCTGAGGCAGCTGCTCCAGGTGACCAGGGGGCATTGTGCTCCAGGGTACCATGGGAACCCTTCTACACAAGGCCACTAGTGTCATGACCAGGAAGCATCGCTGACCTGACACATAGAAACAAACATGGAGAATCAGACAAAATGAGGAAACAGAGAAGTATGTCGCAAATGAAACAGAGATAAGCAACATGCCTAATAGAAAATACAGAGTAATGGTCCTAAAGATACTCATTGGACTTGGGAAAGACTGGAGGACTCAGTGGAAACCTCAACAAAGAGGAAGAAAATATAAAAAGGGAGAACTCAATGGCTGAAATGAAAAATACACTAGAGAAAATAAACAGATTAGAGGAGGCAGAAGGACAGATCAGGGACCTGGAGGAGAGAGTAACAGAAGGCAACCAGCTGAACAGCAAAAAGAAAAAAGAATAATACAAAATGAGAATAGGTTAAGAGAAGTCAGCAACACCATCGAGTGTAATCACATTCGCATTATAAGGATCTCCTAAGGAAGAGAGAGAAAAGGGGCACAAAATTTATTTGA